TGTAGCGGCGAGACACCCTTGACAAGGGGAAGGAGAGAGCGTTCAACAAACTGCGCGAGCATCATATTTCGGAGGCCCGCGCGGACTTCATGTCGGCGCTGGACCCCTTGCCCTGGCGCGCAAAACGAGGTAGGGACAGTGGTTCAGGCGCCGCCAAAGGGTGTCCCGCGCCGACACAAGAAATTCGCGCGGAACCCTGGAAGTTTGTGTTTATACCGTCTTTTTTGTTCGAAGAGAGGGGTAGGGAAGATATGACCGAGTAGGAATGACGCCATCGGTCATCACAGACGCCTGCAAGCCAGTGGCGCGTGGATACAGCACGCGTGCTGCATCTCTGCTCACTCGCTGCACTCTCGATTCGCAATTCTAAAAACGGTGTTGCGAACTTGGTATGCCAATTAGAACGCGCGCCCGGCGAGGGCAGCGGAAAGGGATGGGAGTGTTCCTCGCCTTCGCTGCCAAGTAAGGCTGCACGTGCGCAGGGCCAGCTGCCCCCTGGGGGGGGGGCACGGTTTGCAGGTCCGTGCAGGTGGCCACGTGCGGCGAACACATCCACATGAATGCCCCTGCGGTCTGAACACCAAAGCACGATCCCATAGATGCGCGTGCGATCTCATGGAAATGTTCCCCGCAGGGAATCCGCGGAACGCCGCTCTGCATCCGTAGGGTCGCGGCCGAGGAGCCCCGACCGCCCACGAGGCGGACATCCGTGGGCTCACACCTGCCGCTTCAGCTGGGGGATGCTTCAGGGAAGTCTCGCATAGGCACCCGCCCGTCACACGACCCCATGATGGGCACACACACAAACACAACTTGCGAGGAGTCTGGTAGCGGCTGCCGCGTGAGGTGACTGACTTGGGCAGCTCACTCTCGGCCACAGTTGCAGCCGGCGTCAGCCCCCATCTGGATCGAAAGGCCACACAGCACCATATAAGTAAACCCGTCGATGGTCTGCGCGGATGTCTTGTTCGTGGATGGCGCAGGACCGCCTCCCTTCATGCGAGGCGGTGTTTTACCCATCACCATCGCCCAGGAGATCGCTCTTTGGGTACCTCGACAGGCTGCGGATATGAATTTATTTTCCCCCCCCTCACTGCCAGCGATTGGGTCCTCCGGCACTGCCAGCGACTCCTGCCAGCCACGATGGCGAACCTCGACGAAGCCGACAGGGAGCTTCGCCCAGCCGCTCAACGCAGCGGCCGATCCCACGTCATAGTCAAAAGCGCGGCCCGCAACCGCTTTGGCAATGTAGTAGGCCGAGCTTCTGCCTAGCAGGAGCCACCATCCGTGTGTACAGAGTGTGTCTCGCGACTACCAGGCCTTGAGGAATAACGTATGTTGCCCCCCAGGGTCCGAATCTGTATCCATACACACCGCCTGCCGAACCCCCGAAAATCCATATCCGTGTCCACCGCCTGCCGAGGCCCCCTGCCGAGGCCCCCGAAGGCGCCTGCAGAAGCCCCCCTGGGGATGTCGGACGTGCCCGTGCGGTGCGAGCATGAAAAAAGAAACCATTCGAGAAGGAATCCAGGGTCTGGAGGCCGCTGGAACTCCAATCGTGGGCTGGCCATGTGTACCACCGCCGCACTCATCAGATAAGGAATCCTCCAGGGTCTGAAACCTCCTGAGCACATTCCATACTGCACGCCCGCACCATCGATAAATCCCCGCCTCCGACTGCAACGCCTTGGGCGGCTCTGGCGGATGGGCGTGGGAACGGGGCTCCAGCATCGACCCGAGAAGACTGCCCAGGCCTCCGACAGCTCCTCCCCCCAACAGTGCTCGCCCTCATGACTGAGCGCGGAAACGTCCGTGTCCATCTTGGTCATTGTCCATCCTGGTCAACGTCAAACCGCCGATCACCCTCGCGAATCGGCGACGGTCGGCATGGACCATAACCAAAAACGGCATCGACAAGATCCCGCGACATCTTGGTCGTGGCCATTGTGGTTCTTCCCTCGAGGACCTGGCCCTTCTGTCGCGGTTTTGGGTACCTCAGCGCACCACGACACAACACGGCACCGCACGGCACATCACAACGGCACGGCACGCCACGGCAAACCCGCCTTAGTTGCCGTACCGCAGAACGGCGCTGCACGGAACAATGCCACACCGAGGCGCAATACCGCACCTCCGGTCCACAGGACACGGCTGGGGCACCACAAGCGCACCGCGGCAAGCGCACGGCGAGAACCCACAGCACCGCACGACATCTCAAGTCCACCAAATGGCGCCCTGCCTCCCGCTCAGGCATGGCAAGGCTCGCTGGCCCAGCAGATCCCCCTTTACGCCACCGCACGGCACTACACGACACGGCATGGCACGGCACAGCACGGCATGGCACGGCACAACTGCGCGCTGCCCTCCGAGATCCCGGCTCGGTCAATCGAAGCGCGACTGCTCGTAGAAGCCCCGTGGAGCACGACCGTTCGGAGCCCCGCGGCACGGCGCCGAAAGCCTCCAGCGCCCCAGGCCGCGCACCCTCAGAGCACCGGCGCAGCATGGCACGGCACGGCACGATGTCTTCTGCCCCCCGGCATCCGCGTCCCCCAAGCTTCCACGGACTCTGCGCCGGCTTCTGCCGAGGGGGGCGGGGGTAAGATGCCATCTTCTTCATGATCAAGACATTCATGAAAAGACCTCTACGTTGGCGCGGACAGTGATGACATCCGAAATCAAAGCCGCTGTGCACCGCATCAAGCTTATCCTGATCCTCATCATCATCGTCATCGTCGTCATCATCGTCAGAATTCGGAGCAGGGGGAGGGTGAACGTGGGTATCACTGGGCATCATAGTCATCACCGTCGTCAGTACAAGTTGATAAATCCTCGCCACTTCGATGTCACTAATATTCTGTCTCATCTCCTCTTCCTCCTACTTCTCTTCCGCCTCCTCAGCCACATCCCAGTTATCCTCCTACTCAACCTATTCGCCATCCCCACACCCCCCAATCGAAATCCTCCCCGTCCTCTTTCTACTCTCCTTCCGATACTCATCAACAGACTGCTCGCCCTCATCACCAAAATCCTTCTGATTCACAGCCCTCGTTCACTCCTTCCTCCGCTCTCCTTCCCAAAATCCTCATCCACTCCCTCCTCCTCCTCCTCCTCCTCCTCCTCCTCGTCTCCACGCCCCGTCACCCCCAGAACGCGATATATCACGACCCCTGGCCATCCACGTTAAAAAAACGCTATCACCATCACCACAACCAATGTCCCTATTAACAGCATCTTCCCGACCCTCATCTCATCACCACCATAATCATGATCAGTGTCACCGTTGGAGAAGTATCCCCGGAGTCCTTGCGGCAGCTTCCTTGGTCTTTGTCTCCTCTGCCTCCAGCAGCGCGATCATCTGGTTGTTCTGCTCAGACAACACCTTGACGTGCTCGTCCTTCCCCACGGGCGCCCAGAGATCCGCAGAGAGGGACCCAGGAGGTGGGAGGAGGAACGACGTGAACAAAAAGATGATACTTAGGGCTCCTGTTCCGCCTCCTCCTCCTTCTCCTCCTCCTCCTCCTCCTCCTCCTCCCCCCCTCCTCACACGACGACGACGCTTGATGCTGTCAGTCCATCCGCAGGCTAACTGAGCTGACCTGAACTTCTCCGCCTCCTCCTTTTTCGTGCGCTGCCGCGGGCGGGTCGCCGCGGGCACTGGCTGGCAAGCTGGCTCAGCGCAAACGGTAAACAATACTCAGCCACCCCCACGATGACTCTACCAGCTCACTCAGCATGGCCCAACGTTCCGAAACCTTCCTCCTCCATCCCTCCTTCTCCTCCTTCTCCTGAAGCCCTCCGAAGGCAAAGGTCTCCAACACCAATCCTCGTTCTGAAAGTCTGCGAAACAAATAAGCCTCCTCCTCCTCCTCCTCCTCCTCCGTCCTCGATCCTCGATGGTCGACCTTGGGGTCTCCTGGATCCTCGGTCCTCCACCTGGGAGTCTCCTGGGTCTTCGATCCTCGCACGTAGCTCGGAATGACTGTCTGCCTCAGTCGCTGACCACTGGCCTCAGTCACTGGTCGGAATGCCAGCTGCATCAGCTGCGCTCGAGCTCTAACGCTGACGCTGATGGCATCCGAGTCCGTCAACAAACGATGCCGTCGCCACCACTGCGGCGCTCTGCCACCAGGTAGGGCGAAGAACACAGCTCAAACGTCTTGGGTGGAGTGCGAGGAAAACGGCCGGGGACGTCGGGAGAAGATAGGAGGCCAGAGGGAGGAACCTGGAGCGGGTAACAGCGGGTAGAGGGAGGAAAAGGCAACCCTAACCGCGGAAGTCTCTTCTTCCTCCTCCTCCTCCCCCTCCTGCTGCTGATCATGGCGGTAGATGGGTACTCCCTGCTGCCATTGGCCCCCTCCTGAGGTTGCCGTATGGTGCAGCAAGAGGGGGCCATTCCGAAAAAGGGCCGATCTCTGGTGGTGGGGCCGGCGAGGTACGAGGGGGGAGAAACGGACGAGGGCCCGAAAGAGGAGGACGAAGACGGACACGGACGGCGAATCGAACGAAGGAGGGGAGGAAACGAGGAAAAGGATCTGCGGGTCGACTGCCGTGCGCCCTCCTAACCCACCCCCCCATCTGACCTCATCCCCCTCCCCACCTGTCCTGACCTGTCTAGACCTCAGATTTAGTTGTCGTCGCAGTCGGGCTCAGTAGAAGGGGCACTTGAAATCGGAGAAGATGGTCGTAGAGGAGGGTGGGTGGTGGTCGTTGAGGTGGGTGGGAAGGGCGTCGGGGTTTGGGGAGGGGGGGGAGTGGCCAGGTCTCTGCTCGGGGACGCGGGCAGGGGCGGCCGCAGGCCATGCGCCCGCGGCGGAGGCGGGGGCCGCAGGCCTCGGACAGGTGTCGCCGCCAACGTCGTCGGTGCGTAGCCGAAGAGGGGCACAAGGGAGGGGGGCGAGGCGGTCGTGGCCGGGTGCCGCCATCGGCGGGTTGCGATGCCTCAGGGGCGGCGCCAGGTCGGTGAGGACCGAGGGCGCTAGAGGTCGGAAGGGCGTTGTACCCTAGAAGGTGCGTTGTGCGGTGGTGTCGCCAGTAGCGCGGCAAGGCTCGGAAACCAAGGTCGTCTTGTACCTGGTTCGAGGTGTGGCGCTGGCGTCGCCTGTGTCGGCTCTAGTGCTGGTGCTGGTGTCAGAAGCTGGTCGGAAGCTGGTGTCGGCGCCGGAAGCGCGTAAGGAATCTGGTGTCGGCGCTGGGGTCGATGCTGGCGTCGGGAGTGGCTGTGGTGTTGACGCTGATGCTGGTTCCCGTGCAGAAGTCGCTGGCGTCTTCGATGCTGGCGCTGATGCTGGGTTTGCTGCGTACGTCGGTGTCGGCGTCGATGCTGGAGTCGATGCTAGTGTTGGTGGTGGCTTCGTGGTGTTGTGACCCAGGCCCTTCACCTCGTGGTGCTTGACCTCGTGGTGCTTCTTCGGGTCTCTGGGTGGGGGAGGGTGACTGCCGGGCATGCCGCGCAGCCCCTGCCCCTGCACAGAACTGATTTCGATGGTGGAGTCGATGCTGGCGTCGGTAGTGACGGTGGTGTTGACGCTGATGCTGGTTCTGGTGCTGGAGTTGCTGGCGTCTTTGAATCTGGCGCTGGTGCTGGGGTTGATGCAGGCGTCAGTGATGACGCTGATGCTGGCTCTGGTGCTGGGGTCGCTGGCATCTTCGGTGCTGGCGCTGGGGCCGATGATGGATTCGGTGCTGGCGTCGATGGTGGGTGCAGAACTGGTGTGAATACTGCTGGCGTCGGTAATGACGCTGATGCTGACGTCGATGCATGCTCCTGTGCTGAAATCTCTGGAGTCTTCGATCCTGGCGCTGATTCTGGGATTGATGCAGGCGTCGGTGCTGGCGTCGGTGGTGGGAGCAGTGCTGGTGCCACTGCTGGAGTCGATGCTTGCGTCGGTGGTGACGCTGATGCTGACTGTAGTGACTCCAGCGCTGGAGTCGCTGGCGTCTTCGATGCTGGCGCTGAAGCTGATGTTGGTGCTGGCGTCTGAGCTGGCGTCGATGGTGGGGGCAGTGCTGGTGTCGTTGCTAGTGTCGGTGCTGGCGGAGATGGTGGGGTTGGTGCTGCCACTGATGCTGGCTCCGGTGCTGGAGTCGCTGGCGTCTCTAATGCTGGCGGTGGTACTGGGGCTGATGCTGGCGTCATTGCTGGCGTCGGTGGTGGGGGCGTTACTGGCGTCAATGCTGGAGTCGATGCTGGCGTCGGTGGTGACGCTGATGCTGACGTTAATGCTGGCTCCCGTGCTGGGGTCACTTGCGTCTTAAATGCTGACGCTGATGCTGGGGCTGACGCTGGCGTGGGTGCTGGAGTCGATGCTGGCGTCGGTGGTGACGCTGATGCAAACTCTGATGCTGGCGTCGGTAGTGACACTGGTGTTGACGCCGATGCAGGCGCCGTTGCTGGAATCGCTGGCGTCTTCGATACTGGCGCTGATGCTTGCCCTGATGCAGGCGTCGGTGCTGGCGTCGATGGTGGGGGCAATGCTGGTGTCACTGCTGGCGTCGATGCTGGCTTCGGTGGTGACGCTGATGCTGACGGTGGTGCAGGCTCCTGTGCTGGAGTCGCGTGCGTCTTTGATGCCGGGGCTGATGCAGGGGCTGATGATGGCGTCGGTGTTGGCGTCAATGGTGGTGGCGGTACTGGTGTCGATGCTGGAGTCGATGCCTGCGTTGGTGGTGGATTCGTGGTGTTGTGACCCAGGCCCTTCACCTCGTGGTGCTTGACCTCGTGGTGCTTCTTCGGGTCTCTGGGTGGGGGCAGGGTGACTGCCGGGCATGCCGCGCAGCCCCTGCCCTTGCGCAGAACTGATTTCGATGGTGGATTCGATGCTGGCGTCGGTAGTGACGGTGGTGTTGACGCTGATACCGGTTCTGGTGCTGGAGTTGCTGGCGTCTTTGATGCTGGCGCTGGTGCTGGGGTTGATGCAGGCGTCGGTGCTGACGCTGATGCTGGCGCTGGTGCTGGGGTCGCTGGCGTCTTCGGTGCTGGCGCTGATAATGGGGCTGACGATGGAGTCGGTGCTGGCGTCGATGGTGGGAGCAGTGCTGGTGTGAATACTGCTGGCGTCGGTAATGACGCTGATGCTGACGTCGATGCATGCTCCAGTGCAGAAGTCTCTGGAGTCTTCGATGCTGGCGCTGGTGCTGGGGTTGATGCAGGCGTCGGTGCTGACGTCGGTGGCGGGAGCAGTGCTGGTGTCACTGCTGGAGTCGGTGCTTGCGTCGGTTGTGACACTGATGCTGACTTTAGTGGCTCTGGTGCTGGAATCGCCGGCGTGATTGATGCCGGCGCTGATGCTGGGGTTGATGCTGGCGTCGGTGCTGACGTCGGTGGTGGGGTCGGTGCTGGTGTCGATGCTGGCGTCGATGCTGGCGTCGGTGGTGACGCTGATACTGGCCTTAATGGCTCCGGCGCTGATGTTGCTGACGTCTTGTATGTTGACGCGGATGCTGGGGCTGATGCTGGCGCTGGTGCTGGCTCTGGTGCTGGAATCGCTGGCGTCTTCGATGCTGGCACTGATGCTGGGCCTGGTGCAAGCATCGGTGATGCTGCTGGCGTCGGTGCTGGCGTCGATGTTGGCGACGGCGCTGGGGTCGGTGCTGGAGTCGATGCTGGCGTCGGTGGTGACGTGGATGCTGACACTACTGCTGGCTCCGGTGCTGGAGTCCCTGGCGTCTTCGATGCTGGCGCTGATACTGGAGTTGATGCTGCCGTGAGTGATGTCATCGAAGGTGGGAGCGGTGTTAGTGTCGGTGCTGGAGTCGATGCTGGCGTCAGTGGTGTCGCTGATGCTGACGTTGATGCTGGCTCTGGTGCTGGAATCGCTGGCGTCTTCGATGCTGGCACTGATGCTGGGGCTGATGCAAGCGTCGGTGCTGGCGTCGATGGTGGGGGAAATGCTGGTGTCGATGCTGGAGTCGATGCTGGCGTCGGTGGTGACGCTGATGATGCCGCTAATGCTGGCTCTACGGCTGGGATCGTCGGTGTCTTCGATGCTGGGGCTGATTCTGCGTCTAATGTTGGCATAGGTGCCGGCTGGGGGGGTCCGGGCCTTGCTTCAGCACTGCAGGGGCCAGGCCTCGCTTCGGTTTGGAGACGCCGAGGCGGTGGTGACGCTGATGCTGACTCTGATGCTGGCGTCGGTGGTTACGTTGCTGGTGTCGGTGCTGTAGTCGGCCTCGTTATTGATGTTGACGCTGGCATTGATGCTGGCTCTGGTGCTGAGTCGCTGGCGTCTTTGATACTGTCGCTGATGCTGGGGCTGATGCTGGCGTCGGTACAGGCGCTGGCGTCGATGCTAGCGTCGGTGGTGACGCTGATGCTGACGCTGATGCTTGCGTCGGTGGTGGCGTCGATGCTGACGCTGATGCTGGCTCCGGTGCTGGAGTCGCTGGCGTCTTCGATGCTGTCGCTAGTGCTGGAGTTGATGCTGGCGTCGGCGCTGGCGTCGATGGTGGGGGCAATAATGGTGTCGTTGCTGGAGTCGGCCTCGGTGGTGATACTGATGCAGGCATTGATGATGACTCTTGTGCTGGAGTCGCTGGCGTCTTAGATGCAGGAGCCGATGATGGGGCTGATGATGGGGTAGGTGCTGGCGTCGATGGTGGGTGCAGTGCTGGTGACAATACTGCTAGTGTCTGTGGTGACGCAGATGCTGACGTTGATGCATGTTCTAGTGCTGGTGTCGCTGGCGTCTTCGATGCTGGCGCTGATGCTGCTGTTGATGCTGGCGTTGGTGCTGCCGTCGATGGTAGGGGCACTGATGGTTTGTGCCGTTGATGGGGTCGGTGCTGGCGTAGGCGGTGACGCTGATGCTGACCCTGATGAGGGCTCCGCCACTTGAGTCGCTATCGTCTTCGATGCTGGCGGTGCTGGCCTTGGTGGTGACGCTGATGCTGACGCTAGTGCGGGCTCCACTGCTGGATTCGCTGGTGTCTTCGATGCAGGCGCTGATGCTGGTTCTAATGTTGGCGCGGGTGCTGGCGTTGGAGCTGGCGTCGGTGGTGACGCTGATGCTGACGCTGATGCTGGCGTCGGTGGTAACGTTGATGCTGACGCTGATTCTGGCTCCGGTGCTGGAGTCGCTAGCGTCTTCGATGCTGTCGTTGCTGCTGGGATTAATGTTGGCGTCGGTGCTGGCATCGATGGTGAGGATGCTGGGGTCGGTGCTGGCGTCGGTGGTCACGCTGATGCTGACGCTGATGCTTGCTCCGGCGCTGAATCCGCTGGCGCCTTCGATGCTAGCACCGATGCGGGGACTGATGTTGGCTCTCTGCTGGCGTCGGTGGTAGTGGCGGTGCTGGGATCGATGCTGGAGTCAGCGTAGGTGGTGACGCTATGGTACTGCTTCCGGTCTGTGCTCTGGTGCTGATGCTGGTCGTGGTCGCCCTCCGCGGCTGGTAGCCGACCATGGGACAACAGACCCTGGGGCGGGTATGCCGTTCCAGGGTCTGAGTCCCTTTCCCCTAGCGCTGGCATCGATGCTGGCGTCGGTGGTGGCGCTGTTACTGACGCCGAGGCTGGCGTCGGTAGCGACGTCGATGCTGGCGCTGATGCTGGCTCTGGTGCTGAAAGCGCTGGCGTTTTCGATTCTGGCGCTGATACTGAAGCTGATGCTGGCGTCGGTGCTGGTGTCGGTGGTGGTGGCGGTGCTGGAATCGATGCTGACGTCAGCCTAGGTGGTGACGCTGGTGCTGACGCTAGTACTGGCTTTGGTGCTGGAGTTGCTGGCGTCTTCGATACCATCGCTGATGCAGGGGCTGGTGCAAGCGTCGGTGCTGGCGTCGATGGTGGGGGCAGTAATGGTGTCGGTGCTGGAGTCGATGCCGGCGTCGGTCGTGGTACGGAGGCTGACGTTGGTGCTGGCTCTGGTGCTGGCGTCGCTGGCGTCTCTGATGCCGGGGCTGCTGTTGGGGCTGGTGCTGGAGTCGGTGCTGGCGTCAATAGTGGGGGCGGTGCCAGTGTCGATGCTGGAGTCGACGCTAGGCTTGGTGGCGACGCTGGTGCTGACGCTAATGCTGGCTCCACTGCTGGTGTCGCTGGTGTCCTCGATGCTGGCGCCGATGCTGGGTCTACTGGTGGCAGAAGTACTGGCGTTGGTGCAGGCGTCGGTGGTGGCGCTGATGCTGACGCTGATGCTGGCGTCGGTGGTGACGCTGGTGCTGGCGCCGATGCTGGCTCCGGTGCTGGAGTCGCTGGCGTCTTCGATGCTGTCGCTGATGCTGGAGTTGACGCTGGCGTCGGTGCTGGCGTCGATGGTGAGGACGGCGCTTGTAACTGTGCTAGAAGTCGGCCTGGGTTGTGACGCTGACGCTGGCCTCGGTGCTGGCTCTGGTGCTGAAGTCGGTGGCGTCTTCGATGCTGGCGCTGATGGTGGGGCTGCTGCTGGCGTCGGTGCTGGCGTCGATGTTGGCGACGACGCTGGGGTCGGTGCTGGAGTCGATGCTGGCGTCGGTGATGACGGTGATGCTGACCCTGAAGGTGGCATCGCTGCAGGCGCAGGCCTGGGCGTGGGGCGGCGTACCAGGAGGGCGGCGAGGCTCGGAAGCCAGGGTCGGGAGGCTGTCGCCGTCGTGGTCGTAGGCGTGGGTGGGGCCGTCGCTGCTGGAGGCCGGGCTGGTCCTGGCCTCAGCGAGGCAGGCGTGGTTGTCTCTGATGCTCTCGTCGATGCTGGCGTCGATGATGAGGGCGGTGCTTGTGTCGATGCTGGAGTCAATGCTGGCGTCAATGGTAACGTTGGTGCTGACTCTTATGCTGGCTCCGGTGCTGGAGTCGCTTTCGTCTCTGATGCTGGCACTGATGCTGAGACTGATGCTGGCGTCGGTGCTGGCGTCGAGGGTGGGGGCGGTGGTGGTGTCGATGCTGGAGTCGAAGCTGGAGTCGGTGGTGACGTTGATGCTGGCGTTAATGCTGGCTCCGCTAGCGGAGTCGCTGGCGTCTTCAAGCTTGACTCTGATGCTGGGGCTGATGCTGGCATGTGTGCTGGCGTCGATGCTGGCGTCGGTGGCGACGCAGATGCTGACGCTGGTGCTGTCGTCGGTGGTGACGCTGATGCTGCCGACAGGTGCTTATGTACTTTCCAGGGCCAGCGGACCTGCCATGGAATATGGTAGTAGCCCCAGCAGGCGGGGCTGGTCCCCTTCGGGTTGGCGAAGTCCTCTAGGAGACGTGCCCACCGCGGGTCCGGGGCCAGCGCGCGCAGGGGGTCCGCGGGTACTAGGGCGGCCTTGGCTTCTGGCTCGAGCGCAGCTCAATTCAGGGCCACGTCGATAGTAGTGGTCTGGCCGCGGCGGGCGAGAGTGGCTGCAAAAGTCTGGAGTACCGCGAGCTGCTGAAGGGTGACAATGTTGCAGCCCCGCTGTACGTGGCGCGGGGCCGACGCGCAGTCGCCGGGCATGTCTCGGGATCTCCAGTTGGCCTCTGTCGATGCTGGCGTCGTTGCAGGCGTCGCTGTTGTCTGTTGTCGTCTGCCAGGGCCGCCAATTTTTCCGATAGGTCCCGCCATGGTCGAGCCTGGCTTCCGTCCCCGACTCCGTCGCGGTGGTGGTTGCTGACGCTGATGCTGGGGCTGATGCTGGCGTAGGTGCTGGCATCGATGCTGGCGTCGGTGGTCACGCTGATGCTGACGCTGATGCTTGCTCCGGCGCTGAATCCGCTGGCGCCTTCGATGCTGGCACCGATGCGGGGACTGATGCTGGCTGGCTCTCTGCTGGCGTCGGTGGTAGTGGCGGTGCTGGGATCGATGCTGGAGTCAGCGTAGGTGGTGACGCTATGGTACTGGTTCCGGTCTGTGCTCTGGTGCTGCTGCTGGTCGTGGTCGCCCTCCGCGGCTGGTAGCCGACCCTGGGACAACAGACCCTGGGGCGGGTATGCCGTTCCAGGGTCTGAGTCCCTTTCCCCTAGCGCTGGCATCGATGCTGGCGTCGGTGGTGGCGCTGTTACTGACGCCGAGGCTGGCGTCGGTGGTGGCGTCGATGGTGGGGGCCCTGACGCTGGCTCCGGTACTGGAGTCGCTGTCGCCTTAGCTGGCAGGGCTGGGGCTGGTGCTGGAGTCGGTGCTGGCGTCAATAGTGGTGGCAGTGCCAGTGTCGATGGAGGAGTCGATGCTGGCCTTGGTGGTGACGCTGATGCTGACGCTAGTGCTGGCTCCACTGTCGTCGATGGTGGGTGCAGCACTGGCGTGGATGATGGGGTCGATGCTGACGTCGGTAGTGACGTTGATGTTGACGCTGATGTTGTCTCTGGTGTTGGAGTCGCTGTCGTCCTCGATGCTGTCGCTGATGCTGTGGCTGACGCAAGCGTCGGTGCTGGCGTCGATGGTGGGGGCAGATATGGTGCAGATGCTGGAGTCGATGCTGGCGTCGGTGGTAGTGCTGAAGCTGGTGTTGGCGCCAGCACCAATGCTGGAGTCGCTGGCGTCTCTGATGCCAGCTCTGATGCTGGGCTGGTGCTGGGGTCGGTGTTGGCGTCAATAGTGGGGGCGGTGCCAGTGTCGATGCTGGAGTCGATGCTGGCCTTGTTGGTGACGCTGATGATGCCGCAGATGCTGGCTCCACTGCTGGAGTCGCTCGTGTCTTCGAAGCCGGAGCTGATTATGTGTCTAATGCTGGCATAGGTTATGGCGATGGTGCTGGCGTCGGTGGTGACACGGGTGCTGACTCTGATGCTGGCGTCGGTTGCGACGTTTCTGATGGCGCTGATGCTGGATCCGGTGCTGGTGTCTCTGGCGTCTTCGATGCTGTCGCTGATGTTGGGATTGATGCTGGCGTCGGTGCTGGAGTCGATGGCGAGGACGGTGCTGGTGTCGGTGCTGTAGTCGGCCTCGTTGTTGATGCTGACGCTGGCATTGATGCCGGCTCTGGTGCTGGAGTCGCTGGCGTCTTCGATGCAGGCACTGGTGCTGGGGCTGATGCTGGCGTCGGCCCACGCGATGCCGTCGATGTTGGCGTCGGTGGTGACACTGATGCTGACGCTGATGCTGGCGTCGGTGGTGACGTTGTTGCTGACGCTGGTGCTGGCTCCGGTGC